CCCCCCCTTGCTGGCTCCATCCCAGCCCTCCCCACACAAGGATATGCACAGCACTGGGGGCTGCCAGGGGAAGGGGGGCCTCCCTGAGTGCTGGAGGGGGGAATTGGGGTGTCCCAGAAAAATGGGGGAGGAAGGGGTAGGAAAAGCCCTTGGTGCTGTCCCTACAGCCCCAGAAGTGGGGGGGGGGGCTAGAGACCCCCAGAAAGGGGATTGAGGTGTTTCTACATGACAGCTGGTGACCCCCATGTCTAGGGGAGCAAAGGCAGGGATCACTTATGGGGTGCCTACATGGGGGTAGGGGGGTGTCCCCCTCTTACACCCCCCCCAACCTACACCCCAGGAGGGAGATTCACAGCAAAACAAACACCCCCAGTGCCCGAGCAGCACCCAGCCCCATGGAAAGGGGTGTGTGTGTCTGGGAAGGGGTGAGGGTCTAGGTGGCTTTGTAGAGGTCCTTGCGCCTCCGCACCTCCTTCAGGACACGGGCACGGAAGGCGTCAGAGTGCTCCCCCCCGTTCCGCCGCAGCCCCAGCGCTGCCTGCAGCTCTGGCCGGTGGGTCCGCAGGAAGGGGTTGTAGCTCTGCTCCTCCCCCAGCGTGGAGGGGCACTGTGGGGGCAGCCGATCAGACCCCCCACCAGAGGCAGCCCCTCTGGCAGGGATCTGGAACCCCCAGCACCCCCTTCCCCTCTGGCACCCGCCATGCAAGAGGGTGTCAGGGGCAGCATCCCCACCGAGGGATGGGGAACCCTGCAAGGGGCTGGTGGGGGGGGGGAGCTGCAGCCAGTGGACCCCCCTGGCCTCACCGTGCTCCTCTTCTCCTGGCGCTGCTGCATCACCCACTGCAGCTTCTGCTCCAGCGCGGGGTTGTCCAGCTCCAGGAGGCTGGCGAAGGTCAGGCACTCCAGTGCGTACTCGTGGCCTGCAGATGCCCGTACCCCTTAGGATCACCCTTGTCTGGCTCCCCAGCAGGGAATAGGGGGGATGTCTGCAGCTCTGCCCCACTGTTGGGGACACTCACCTGGCCACAGCAGCGTGTCCTCGCCCAAGCCCACAGCCATGTCGAGGGAGGCGAGCATGGTCTCGGGGGAGCCCTCAAACAGCCTGCCTGAACCCCCATGCAACCGCCTGTCACGGAGAGGAATTGGGGGGTTCCCCCAAGCCCTTCCCAGGGTGGGACCCCCTCCCCAGCCACAGAGGTCCAGGGTTAGGTGCACTCACCGCAGCCAGCAAGGAAGAGGAGGTCCCCGGAGAAGAGGCAGGGGGGGCCACCGAAGGGCCCCCCATCCAGCACGTACACCATATGGCCCACAGTGTGGCCAGGCGTGGCGAGCGCCTCAAAGGTCAGGCAGCCCACGCTCACCTTCTCCCTGTCCTCAAGCGAGCTGTACCAGGCATAGGGGTGCACCGTCAAAGTGCCCCCACTCCCAGCACCTTAAAACACCCACCTCCCCATGCAACCCTTCCCCAGTGCACCAGCGTTACGAGCATGCCGGGTCTCTGCCCATGGTATGGGCAACATGGTACTTGGGGGAGGAACTGGTGGGTGGGTGGGTGGAGCAGACAGTGGTGACTGGGGTGAAGCATGTCCACCCCCAAATGTACAGGCGTGCTGGGTGGGATGTTGGGTGCAGGACTTACTTGGTGAGCTCTGGGATGGCATCGAGGGCGCTGCCATACACCTTGCAGGAGCTGTGCCGCTGGTGAAGTGCCGCGTTCCCCCCGCTGTGGTCCCTGCAGACAGGGAGGTCAGTGTCCCTAAATGTGTGTCCCCTCCCATAACCCCACCCCACATGGGGTAGGGCTGGGGGTCACCTCAGCTGGAACACCCTCCATGGCAGCCACTGAGCCCCCAAGGGCCCCCTCTTGCCCCCTACCAGTGTTTGTGGGTGCAGAATATGGCCTCCAGCATCACCCCCTCTTCTTCAATGGCAGCCTGGGAATGAGGGGGATGAAGACAGAGAGATGTGGGGAGACACAGACACCAAGTACCAGTTTCCCCCTAAACTCACCCCCCAACTCCCCAGGTGCTGGATGAGCCCTGCTGTCCTCCAACCTTGCCCCAGGCACTAAGGGCTGCAGATTAGGGGTAGATTTCCTTCCCTCCCCCCCCCCCCC